TTTTTCTTTTTCTTTTTTTTTAAATGTTTATTTATTTTTGAGAGAGAGAAAGAGAGACAGAGCGTGAGTGGCAGAGAGGCAGAGAGAGAGGGAGACACAGAATCTGAAGCAGGCAGAGCCCGATTTGGGGCTTGGACTCACAAACTGCGAGACCATGACCTGAGCCGAAGAAACTGACTGAGCCACCCAGGAACCTCTCCTTTTATCTTTTTTTAAAGTAATCTCTAAGCCCAGCATGGCTCACACTCACAATGCAGAGGTCTACAGTTACTTGTTCTTTAAACAAATCTCAAAATCCTACCTCTAAATTGAGGTGCTGCACCCTGTTTAAAATTTATGAACTGAGTACAGATGTCCTAATCGTAAAGTGAGGTAATGCCCACCTTGCCCACCACACCAAGTCAACGTGAGGTCAAAATGAGATACTGGATGTGAAAGGGTTGTACTTCTGGAAGTTGGCTGCATATCACATTCCCTGGGGAGAGATTTTCAAAACCAAATCCCTGGGCCCTACCCTAGATTTACCAATGAGGTGTTTGGGAGTTGGACCGAATCATCTGTGTATGCCCAAAGCACTCCGGGCTATTTAATTGTGGCTTGTTGGGAGACTAGAATTTGTAAGTTGCCACCGGAAAGTAGTTGGCTAGTTTGTGTTAGAGCTACTGTCCCCTTCTGTGCTCTAGGTCTGCTTGGAGAACTGGAGGTATGGGATGGGGGTGGGGGTGGGCGGGGTGGGAATGGGGAGTGGGTTGGGGAGGAAAGGAGCTGGGGCAGGGGTGGGACTGGGTTAGCTGCTATCCTAGGGCTGATGATGGACCTAATTCCAAATCCTTACCTGGATATCTGAGCAGGGAAGAGTGGTCTACCTGGCTTTGGGAGGGTTGATATTAGGCCCTGCTTTGGGTCCTAGGTTTTGGGTGGGAGTGGATTTAAATAGAATGGGAAGGTTAAAAAGGGAAGGGCAGGGGGGAGAGGAAAGAATGGGGCCAAGAGGCTGCCTTGGAGCCTCTGACATGGGGTGGAGGTAGGGGCATCAGGTTTCAAGGGGCTCCTAAGTGGAGGTATCTCTTTGGCTTTGAAGACAAGGAAGTGGAGGAATCATCATCCAGAACTGCTAGAATGTACAACTCACATTGTCTGTGAATGCCCCCACGCTGGAGGTATACAGCCCTAGATCATGGGAGATGATTCTGTGGAGAAAAAAGAAAGCATTAAGCATCTAAAAGATGGTCAAGACCTGACCTGGCTATAAGAAGGTGCCTCTACATGTGTGTTGCGTGGTGTTGGAGGGAGACATGGCTCCTTTTTCTGTTTCCCTGCACCTCCTCTCAACACCTTGACAGTATGGAATTAAAAAAAATTTTTTTTTCACGTTTTATTTATTTTTGGGACAGAGAGAGACAGAGCATGAACGGGGGAGGAGCAGAGAGAGAGGGAGACACAGAATCGGAAACAGGCTCCAGGCTCTGAGCCGTCAGCCCAGAGCCCGACGCGGGGCTCGAACTCACGGACCGTGAGATCCTGACCTGGCTGAAGTCGGACGCTTAACCGACTGCGCCACCCAGGCGCCCCGACAGTATTGAATTTTATATGAACCCTGTACTTCTGGAAACCAGCTACAGTCAAAAAATCCCCTCACCCTTTTGTGTCCCTTCTCATCCCATTTTGAGTCCTGAGAAATGGCTAACTTCATCTTCAAAGGACTATCCTGTTCTAGACTATTCTGAGATAAGACCCACTTTTGCCTTCCTTCCTCAGTGACTCAGATAAAACCCTCTCTATCCTTCCTCATGATGATTCCCTTGTTTACCTGCCTCTATGAAACACCAGGCCCCTTTCCTTTTCTTTGATATGTTCCTTACTAATGAGCATTTTCCTTATTGCAACAGTTTGGAGAAAATCATCTGAATTATTATCCTGTGTATTTTGTCTTTGACACACTCTCCTTTATTTCCCTTTTCTTCATCACAGTGAATTTTACAATAAGATATGCTGAGATACTCTATCCAAAATCCAGTAGAGGGGCACCTGGGTGACTCAGTTGGTTAAGCGTCCAACTTCAGCTCAGGTCATGATCTTGTGGTCTGTGAGTTCGAGCCCTGCGTCGGGTCTCTGTGCTGACAGCTCGGAGCCTGGAGCCTGCTTCAGATTCTGTGTCTCCCTCTCTTTCTGCCCTTCCCACACTTGCACTCTGTCTGTCTCTCTCAAAAATAAATAAACATTAAAAAAATCCAGTAGATAGGTCACACAGCAATGTAAATGTATTTACTGCCTCTGAACTGTATACTTAAAAGTGGTTAAAATGGTAAATTTTATTTTATGTATATTTATTACAATAAAACAATTCCAACTGACAGAAATATAATGGAAATAATTTTATTCAAAACAATTGGAATTCCTACTACGTGCTGGGTGATGGGTTAGGGAATGGGGAAGCGGGTAGGGCCTATGATAGGAAATGAGTAAGATCTGCTTCCTGTGGTCCAGGAGCTCCCAGCCTTGCCAGGGAGACAAACACATAATTTGCTAATTGAGCCACATAATTCAGGGTGACACATTGTAATTGACGTGTGTACAGGCTGATTTGAGTCAAGTTGAAGGGCATTGAATGCTACATTAAGGCATTTGGATTTTATCCTATGATAATTGATATCCATGAATGGTTTTAAAGCTAGGGTATGACGCAAATAGATTCATTGCAATTCCTTATATCTTAATACCAAATATCTACTTTGTGTGGAGTCTATAAATGATCAGTGGTTGTAACAGTTTTTTGGGTTTTGTTTTTGTTTTTTTAGATTTTATTTTTAAGTAATCTATACACCCAAGTGGGGCTCAAATTCACAACCCCACTATCAAGCATCACGTGTTCCACTGACGCAGCCAGGCAGTGCCCCGATGGTTGTGACAGTTTTATTTTTAAATATTAAATATCAAACAGGCTTACATTCATGTTTCTCTTATTAAATATATTTATGTTCAGGAAAGAGAGAATTAACTTTGTTAAGTTTATTGGGAGGACAGAGACAGAACTGGTGAGTGCTCTGTAAGAAATGTGCTTGGGGAACATTGAGAGCTCAGAGTGGGGCAACTGCCACTGCCTGAGGAAGTCAGGGAAAGCCTCTAGGAGGAAGTGGGCTGTGGAAAAGGAGAGGGAAGAGGGAAAGCTGGCAGATAAGATGAAGAAAGGAAGCTGTGGGTAATAAAGCCAGAGAAAGGTGGCAGAGGGCTTTGTTTGCCAAGTTGAGGGGCTTGAATCTTTTCCCCACAGGTGATGGGAACCAACAACGGCTCCGTTAATAATAATGATGATGATGATATAGTGCTTACTACATGCCAGCCACTGCTCTAAGAGCTTTACCAGTATCAACTCATTTAACCCTGACATTCAGGAAATGACATGGCTAGATGGTTTACTTGGGGGACCATGTGGATGATGGTGACCAGAATAACAGTTGTGGTTTGGGAGACAGACAAAGCAGGGGATGAAAAGGATGTGATGGCTTTGTGAAATAATTAGCAATAAAATAATTATTTATTGGTTGGGTGATGGAAATGGTGAGGAAAAGGTGGGAAGCTGGATGACCCTCACTGTTGTTTTTTTTTTTTTTTAATGTTGATTTATTTTTGAGAGAGAGAGAGAGAGAGAGAGAAAGAGAGAGAGAGAGAGGCAGAGAGAGAGGGAGACAGAATCTGAAGCAGGTTCCAGGCTCTGAGCTGTCAGCACAGGGCCCAATGCAGGGCTTGAACTCATGGACTGCAAGATTATGACCTGAGCCGAAGTCGTATGCTTAACAGACTGAGCCACTCAGGCACCCTACTTTTTTTTTTTTTTTTAATGTTTATTTTTGAGAGAGGGGCAGAGAGAATGAGTGGAGCAGGGGCAGAGAGAAAGGGAGAGAGAATCTGAAGCAGGATCCACACTGTCAGCACAGACCCAGATGTGGGGCTTGAACTCATGAACTGTGAGATCACGACCTGAGCTGAACTCACAAACCATGCCATCATGACCTGAGCCAAAATTAAGTCAGACGCTCAACCAACTGAGTCACCCAGGTGCCCCTGAACCTCACTCTTTTGGTTTCAGGTCCTGTGTGTCCTGCTGTGCCACCCAGGTAAAGGATTGATAATCCTGTTCCATTTCTTAGAAGACTCACTACAGTCCTTCAGTACTTCCTACTCCTCTATGAGTTATTTAGGAGTTGTTTAAGGGGCCTGGAGCCGACTTCAGATTCCATGTCTCCCTCTCTCTCTGCCCTCCCCTGCTCACACTGTCTCTCTTAAAAAATAATAATAAACATTAAACAAATTTTTTTAAAGAAGTGAGTTGTTTAATTTCCAAATATTTGAGGATTTCCCAGAAATCTTTCAGTTGTTATTTCTAGCTTAATTCCATCATGATAGAACATCCTTTGTGTGCTTTCATTTCTGCTAAATTTGTGGAGGTGTTTGTTTTGTTTTGCCCAGGCTATCTTGGTAAATGTTTCTTTTGCACTTGAAGAGAATGTGTCTTTTGCTGTTGTTGAGTGGAGTTTCTATAAATGTCATCAGGTCAAGTTCTTTGTTGTGTTCAAAGTCTTTTATAAATTTGATAGTTTTCCTAATAATTGCCCAGTTACAGTAATTGTGGATTTGTCTATTTCTCCTTTCAGTTTTACATCCTGACGGATAACTCCGCATAGACACGAAGGTACTATGGCAGAGAGGATAGAACGTCTGTGTGAAACTGGGAGAAACATTTTATCTCTTTAAATTTACTCTAGAATGCTGAGACAAAATGGAAATCACTACGTATCCCAGCAGGCCTAGTGGACCGCAGGACAAATGCCAATAAGAGACTCCAGGCATTAGGCCACTCCCCCTCCCTAGGTTGGCAAGGCAACTGATCTCGAAGCCAGCCAATCGGTGAGATGCTCACCTGCGGGGGCGGGGGCTCGACGAGAGCCAATGGGAGGCGGGGCAGATGGTTCTCTGGGCTAATGGCTTGGGCAACGGGGCGGGCTTTTAATGAAGGGACGGCAGTGGGAAAGATGGCGGCGACTCTGGGACCCTCTGGGTGGTGGCAACGGTGGCGGCGGCGTTTGTTGGCTTGGAATGGGTCCAGGATGTTGCTCCTTCTCCTTTTGTTGGGGTCTGGGCAGGGGCCACGGCAAGTCGGGGCGGGCCAAACCTTCGAGTACTTGAAACGGGAACACTCGCTGTCGAAGCCCTACCAGGGTGAGGCACCCCGGGCGAGGTGGTCGTGCACGGGGAGGGCTTCCGGACTTGAGCTCATCGGTAGAGACCGGGGTGGTGAAAGGCTTCGTGGCCCTAAGGAAACTGCCGGCGGTGGGTGAGGGCCCACGGGGACTTCGCCGCGTTTGGGAACCACGGGTCGCAAGGGCAGGGGTCAGCTCCCCTCCTCCCCCGACCCTGTTTTGGAAGTTTACAGCAGGTCAAAGCCGGGCTCGGATGCCACAAGCGCTAGGCCTGGACAAAGGGGAGTTCGACAGGAGGAATGTGGGAAGGATGGAACTGCAAATGGTGGAAAGTGATTGAAGGCCACTAGCAAAGAGCAGGTCTCCGGATGGAGTTGTGGATGTGCTAGAAATAAAGCAGGAGGCAGAACTAGGGTAGAGCTTGGCTGGACTGAGAAAGAAGATAAAAGTCTGTTGCCGGTTAAAACACCTGTTCTCCAGTCCAGGAGCCCTGTTGATCAAAGAGGCTGCTCTGTTTGGGGCTCATAGACTTTTAGGCACAGCTCATCTACCAAAAGATTTGTATTAGTTAAGTTACAAAGAAGACCAAATCAGTGCAGAAACACAAGTCTGTTTCCCCACTGGAGTGTGGGACAGCAGACAAAAACTCAAAGTGCAAGTGTGTACACGGCTGCTAAGTGATCATTTATTAACTCATCAGATGCTTCAGGTGCCTCATCTGTGGTGTCTCACTGACACAAAAATTATCACTTTCATGAAGTGTATAGCCTGAGGTCCTGGGAGCAGTACCTTCACACTTCAATTGTTTAAAGAAATAATGTGATTAAGCACCAGAGGCCTGAGGGTCAAGCTCTTTTTGGTAGAACTGGGGAAATTTTTTTTTTTATGGTGCTAAAGTTTACTTAAGTATAAAATGGGAGGAATGGGTTTGAGCTGTGGTTTTTGCGGCATGGACAAAGTGATAGCTGGGATGTCTTCACCTGAGAAGGGCTTTGTGAAAAGGAAGCTGTCAAGGTGGTAAGGATTTGAGATTTATGAGTGACAGAGATAGGAGATTGAGTGTCGGGAAAGGTAGCAAAAGATGATGACTCCAGCTTTAGGATGGTTCTTGGTGGTTTCTGAATGGGTTGGTGCTGAAGAGTATGAACTGATCTACTTCCTCCCTGTAGGTGTGGGCACAGGCAGTTCCTCACTGTGGAATCTGATGGGCAATGCCATGGTGATGACCCAATATATCCGCCTTACCCCAGATATGCAAAGTAAACAGGGTGCCCTGTGGAACCGGGTGGTAAGAATCTTTCTCCCTCCTGTGTCGCTGACCCACAAAGTCCTAAAAAGTTCACCAGTGGCATATTGACTTAATTTTACTGTCTATCCCCAGGGTTCTGTCTTCTGTGGATTTCAGGAATTTTTCAGAGAATATGATGACCTTCATAATGGTATCAGATATGTAGGGAAATGCTCTTGATTGCCCCAGTTATAGGAAATAATCCATTTTGATTCTGTTTTCTGAAGTATCTTTAATTCCCTATTGACCTGATAGTATTACTTCTTGGAGGTTAATAACTCTTAATAACTCACATTTAGTTACTTTGTAAAGTAGAAGACTGCTCTTTTAAATGTATCCTAAATTTCATCCCAGGATTCGCCCTTGCTATTTCATGTTGAAGAGTTTAATTTTAAATTTTATTTTCATGTGAAAGCCACTTTGAGCCATTGGTCTTTTTTTTTTTTTTTTTTTTTTTTTGTCCTTCTCTGGAACTTTTCTAGCTACATTGTCTTCCTTGAGGTATGGCGGCAAGAAGTGAATGCAGTATTCCTGGTGTGGCTGCACTGTGATTTTGTATAAGTGTAAGATGATGCTTTCTTTTTGCTTTCCAGGGCTCTTTCTAAGTCTTTTACAACCCCTTTACTCTTGGGAATGACCTTGGCATCCTTTAATACTTTCTCTTGGGTTCTCATAAGCTAAGAACTTACTTTTTCATGGTTTTTTTTTTTCCATTGATTATAGATAAGTGAACCTCAGAAAAAAGAACTATCTCTTTTCCCTGTTCATTTTATGTGGCAAAGAATTCTAACAGAGCAGAGGGTTAAGAGAAGTTTCTACACGAGCTGTTTGCACAAGCTGGCCTCTTAACCCAGACTGTAGTGTTGCTCTTGTTCTTGGACAGAGTGCAGGGTGATGTGTTCTGGTAGAAGAAGCAAAAGGCTGGCAGTTGACAGCCTTGATTAGGTTTTAGATCTAGCTGTATCACAGATCCACTGTGAGCCCTTGGCTGTTACTTAATTCTGTTTTCAGTTTCTCCATCCGCCAAATGAGCTTCATAATACCTTCTACATGCCCACTAGGGTTATCGGGAGAATAAAATAAGACAATAGATATGAAAGAGCCTTAGAAAGTTAAAATGGTTACAGAAATGTGCCCTGTTACATTATGTATCTGTTACATGTAAGTTTCATTGATGAGGTCTCTGGGTTACTAAACGATTATGTCTAGAGCTTGATACTTTGCTGCTGTCTTGCTAGCTGCTTCTACATAACTCTTTTAGCAGCCGTTCTAGTTTAGGATCTAGTTATATTGCCCTTTTTCAGATTCTCTGATACTGTGGGTTGTTGTTGTTGTTGTTGTTGTTGTTATCTATCAGAATGAGCTTTGGGGTTGTTTCTGAGTTATTTGAATAGGATGTGTTTGTTTGAACAGTGGTCCTCAAATTTGGCTGTCCATTGGAGTTGATGCCTGTGGTCATGGGAATTTTTAAAAACTCCCTAGGTGAATCTAATGTATAGCCAAGTTTCAGAACCAGTGCTAGACATAGCCCTGAGCAAAAGTGTGTGGCACTGTGCTAGAGGAGACCGAGGATAAGTAGCAGATACCTCTTGGCTCAGTGTGAACTTCTCTGGCCCTGCCCTTGTCCCAGGGGGATAATACCCACTGGCTATGGGGGAGCTTCCTGCCACTGAATTTCATTCTTGTCTTGATATCTAAGTGCAAGAACAGAAAGAGGAGAACACAGAATGACAACACAGGGACTGGGATCATTAGGGTAGGGTAAGCTATTGGAGTTACAGGTTCTTTGGTGAATTCAGAAGTAACCTCACCCCTTTCATTTGACTGTGTATTCCTAATACTAACACTTTTGGAAGATTTCCCAGAAATTAAAAATGAATACTAAAAATGATCTAGCAGTATGTTGCTCAAGAGCCAGAACAATCTATTTGGAGAGACTCTGCCTGAACCCTGCTGGTCTATCTGCTCCTCCGTCCTTTCTTTCTTCATAGTGACCTTTAATTAGGAGCCTCTCTAAACCAGATACCTACTCTGCTTTCTCTTGAAAGTGTTCAACCATTTAGAGCACTTAGCCATCCACTTACTTCCTTCTGCATTTTTGCAAGCTTTTGGTACACAATTCAAGAAAAAAACAAAATAAACCCCAAGAAACACAGGAGTCTGATTAGTACCCACCTCCATGTTTCCACCAAAAGCTGTCCCTGTGATGGGGATGGTGGTCTCCTTTGGTGCATTTATGCCTCTTGATCATGGGCATGATGTTTTGGGAGACTGTAACTTACTCCTTCTTGGGGAATTCTGGCTTGCCCCTCAGCTTGGCATAAGGACAAGTCTGGCTAATTAGGGTTGTTCACATATCTGCTAATTAGTCCTGAAAACCTTTGTATAATGGCTTAGCTTTTTTTATTTTCTGTAATGAATGAAGCTTTGACCTTTCTTGAAATCCAGGCTTTTTAGAATCTTTCTGTCAGAGGTGTGAGCTCAAGTTGCAAATGAGTGTCACTTCAGCCACCTGTACTCTATAGGCTGAGATGCTTTGCTGTAGGATCACAGTAGTCTAACTTGGCAGTCTCTTGTCTTTTCAAATTTGAGTACTATCCTGTTTCTGTTAGGAGATACTGAGGATAATTGGGAGGTTTATTCACTTTCCACATTAAATATCATATACAGTTGAACAGCTCAACCTGTTTAATTTTAGCACTTAGCAAGTCATAGATTTCAGTTTCAACCCTTCACCTTATGTTACCTTCATTTGTGTTTTCCCAGTCTCTAGACTGCTGGCGAGGGCTTTGAGGGGTTTCACATTTCACACTCTTCATTGATTCCAGTGTCTTTTTCTCCTCAGCCATGTTTCCTGAGAGACTGGGAGTTGCAGGTACACTTCAGAATCCATGGACAAGGGAAGAAGAATCTGCATGGGGATGGCTTGGCAATCTGGTACACAAAGGATCGGATGCAGCCAGGTATTGGGACCCTGGGTTGCTCTTGTGTGGGGTGTGACAGGCCTGCTTTCTCACATGCCCTCTTTTGGAGAAGGGTATGTGCCCACAGTGCCAGCAGTTTGCCACTCCCTTGATGTCTGTGGATAAAGACTGGCCTATCTAGTCTCTAGAATGGGGTCTGACTCCTAGTAAAGCAGTTGAACTTGACTCATCCTGGGACAATTTCTTGCTTATTAGTTCCTTCCGGTTTCCCTTTGAGGCCACGTGGCCTGTTGGCCGGGTGAAAGTGCTGGCTTTCCAGAGCACTGCCGATTGGGTGAGCTGATTTCTTTTGAGCATGTGCATTGTATGATCTTAGAACTCCTTGAGTCAGGAGTTGTGTGGGAGCCATTGCTCCAAGGACATGGCAAACTCAACCTGATTTGACCTGATCTCTTTTGCAACAAGAAGTGGAATTTGGGAATTCAGCTCTCTCTCAGGGGCATAGTTGTCACCAAGCGTTCGTGAAGCAGAATTCTTTAGGGGCGCCTTAGCAACCAGTTTGGACCAGGGAGCAGCTGTGGTGCTAAACAACGTTGCAGTGGCCTTCTCTCTTCCCCTGCCTTCAATACCAAACAGCTACAGATTTTGTTGGGTGCTTGTTACAGGCCATGCACTTTTGCTGGGTGCTTTTACATATGTTTTCTCGTCTTAAAAAGAGGCCTGGGAGTCAGTCATTTGAATTTTACTTTTTCCTCCATCATAGTGATATATTATTCCTTTATCAACTCTTGGCTTTATTTCATTGTTCATCATCTCTTCTCTCTCTCTAGGGCCTGTGTTTGGAAACATGGACAAATTTGTGGGGCTGGGAGTATTTGTAGACACGTACCCCAATGAGGAGAAGCAGCAAGAGGTAAATGGCAAGTGTCAGAGCTTAGGTCAGCTGCACTGACATCACAGTCCTTTGCCTCAGGGATGTCCGTGATGGAACAGGGGATAGAATATGAGGGGTTTGGTTCTGTTTCCTTCATCTATTGAATTTGAAAAGTTAATATCCTTGTCAGCATTTTCTAGAAAGAATTGTTTATGGTACACAGACCTTTGGGAATGACTGTCGTGATTGGGGGCTTTTTCTTTAGTGTTAAACATTGTTCTCTTGTGCACGTTAGGTAGCTGCTGGAATTGAGCCTGCTTGGCTGGTTGGTGATTTGGCTACCAGGCCGGCACCAGAGCCAGCTGAATTTATATAACCCAGCTCCCCTGACTTAATAGATCACCACTTTACTCTCTTCTGCAGCTTGCTCATTCTTTTGAGCATCCTTTTCTTCTTCCTGTTTTTAGGCCTGAACAACAATTCTGCTCTCCTGTAGGAAAGGTGGTAAAAGGAAATTGATGGAGTCCTAGCATTTCATTGCAATCCAGTATCTGGCTTTTGGCAAAAGCTTCTTACTTTTTGTTGGCTGACCCTAGGGTTCTTTACTACTTTCTCAGACTGCCAGTAGGTTTGTACTGTCTTTGCCTGATGGCCCTGCCATCAGATGGTAGGAAAATGATGGTGACAGGTTGCTGGTGGGTATCCTATAGCTAAATAATAGCAAGAAAGGCAGGATTAGGGGTGCAGACAGCACTCACTTTATTTTTTTCCCTAAAAGCTTTATATGAAAAATATCAAACTTATTTAAAAAATTGGAAGAATACATCATCATATATGCAATACCCAGATTCAACGATTTTTGACATTGCCCATGGAGTTCCCCTGAGGGAGGTGGAACGTGAGACCTGAGTTAGGAGAGTAACCTTTTGTTGTGAGACACTTACAGAGTAACTTCTCCATGTTGCCTCTAGGCTCCTCCTCAAGCCGCCATACATCAGGCACTTTCTAGGTGGGGGAAGTTAGTGAGCAAGATCAGCATTGGTCCTTGCACTCAGTAGCACTGATGTGTGAGAATGCTGATGGGGAACTATGGGGCACCGTAGGAGACCCAGGGGTGCATCTATCTTGGAGTGGGACAGTGTGGTAGTAGTGGTGGTGGAAAAGATTTCCTCCACGAAGTGACATTTACATTGAAGTCTGCAGAAGTAGGAACCAGTATTCCATGCAGAGGGAAAAGCGTGTTTAAAGGTGATAGAGTGAGAGAAGGGACAGAGAATGAGGGGGAAAAGGGATCAGAGAAAGAGGAGGCTAGAAAGAAAAACAAGGCCAGCAGTCTTGCCATGTTGTACAACTTCAGGGGCCACCGTTCCCATTGTGTTCTTTAGTGTTAACACCGTTCCCTGTTGGGCAAGTTGACCGGCCACTGAGATTGAGCAGTGTCCCCTTGGGTGGTTAGTGGTTTGGCTGTTCAGACCAGCACCAGAGCCATCCAAATGTATGTGACTCATTCTCACCACGCACATTGTTGGGCCACATTCTGAAGAGAGGTGTTCCTGTTAAGGAGACTGGATTTTATTCTAAGGGGGTAAGTGTGTTAAAGGATTTAAATGAGGAGAATGTCATGACTAGGTTTGTAGTCATGCTGAGGAAATAGTAGTCGTTAGAAGTGCATCTGAGTAAGAGGTATGGGCTTCAGGGCTTGACTGGAGTTTTAAACCTGGCTCTCTGCTTCTCCCAGAAATAAATTGTTCAGATTCTTTTAGCTTCCATTTCACCATCAGATAATAATAATTCTCATTTGAGAGGGCAGATCTGATGGGCTTATTTCATAAGAAGAGTAGATGTTAATCAGTAAAATTAGTTTCAGTTGATAAAAAATCAGCACTTCTTTTCTAGCTAGCTGTTATGGTTCTCACTCCCAGCTGCACATTGAAATTGCCTATAGTGAATGTATTTTTTAATTTTATTTATTTTTTAATGTTATTTTGAGAGAGAGAGTGAGCAGGGGAGAGGCAGAGAGAGAGAGAGAGGGGACAGAGGATCTGAAGCGGGCTCTGTGTTGACAGCAGAGAGCCCGATGTAGGGCTTGAACTCATGAACTGTGAGATCATGACCTAATCCAAAGTCAGATGCTTAACCGACTGAGCCACCTAGGCGCTCCTGCCTGGAGTGCATTTAAAATTACCGATTTCAAGGGTTGCCTGGGTGGCTCACTTGGTTGAGCGTCCAAATTTGGCTCAGGTCATGATCTTCCGGTTTATGAGTTTGAGCTCTGCGTCGGGCTCTGTGCTGAGAGCTCAGAGCCTGGAGTCTGCTTTAGATTGTGTCTCCCTCTCTTTCTGCCCTTCCCCTGCTCACATTGTGTCTGTCTGTCTGTCTGTCTGTTTCTCTCAAAAATAAATAAAAACATTAGGGATGCCTGGGCGGCTCAGTCAGTTAAACATCTGGCTTCGGCCCGGGTCATGATCTCATGAGTCATGAGTTCGAGCTCTCCATTGGGCTTTCCGCTGTCAGCACAGAGCCCCCTTGGGATCCTCTGTCCCCCCCCACCCCCTTCTGCCACTTCCCGCTCATGCTCTTAAAAATAATAAAATTTTTTTTTTTAATAAAAATGTTAAAAATCTAAAAAAATAAAAGTACTGATGCCCAGGCCCCAGCCTCGGAGAGTATAATTCTGTTTGTCTTAGGTGCCGTGTAGGCAACCTGACTTTTACAAAGCTTTCCAGGTGAGTCACATATGTAGCCAGCATTGGGAACTCTTGGATCAACATCAGGTCCTTGTTTCCATATTAGTTGTTTACTTGTTAATCAAATTTGTTTATTAAAATGAAATTTAAGAAAACTAATAAAAGTGGTTTCTGTTTATTAGGTGGCTATTGTGTGCCAGGTACTTACAAATAATGCCTTCATCCTGATCAAAACTCCTTAGGGTTAGTATTATTTTTCCCCATTTACTAGTGGGTACAGAAGCTTAGAGACGTGTCTTGTTCAAGGTAACAGCCAATGTAAGGTGGAGTCAGATTTTGAACATAGGTCCGCTGGATTCCAGAGGCTGTGCTTTTAATTATGATGCTCTACCTTCTCCCTTCCTTCCATTGTTTCTTCTGCAGGTTGATTTCCTTGAGAATGGAGACATTTATTATTCTCCTGTCATCTCCTATGTAATTTCAATTCTTAGAGTTTATATTCTAATGTACAGAGTATAGAAATTGTACTCCTGGAACTATTTTATAGAGTAAAATCAAGTGTGTGTTTTGTTGGCAGCATGATTTACTTTGATATCATACATAAAGGTGCCAGGTATTGTTTCAAACACTTGTACGTGTATTATTTGTATATTATATTGTATATATTGTGTGTATATTATGTATAGTATATGTTTGGTGTATTATATACGTATAACAACACTTTGGGGTAGGTATTATTGTTATCTCTACATTATGGGCAAGAAACTGAAGTGCAGAAAGGTTGAAAAATTTGTCAGTGATACACAGATAGAGGGTGTGATTCCAGACTGCAGTCTCATTATTTTGCCTTAGTATTTTTGAGTACATAAGAAGAGGGTGACAGATATGGCACCTTTTGAAAACTTGCACATGTTACGTAGAATATGTGCTGGACTAGGAGGACAAGTTGCTGGCAGGAGGGAGTGTGGAGCAATTCATCAAATCACTCAAGGTAGTGGTAAAATGTTTCTATGGTTTCGTGTTTCTTCGTCACCAGAGCACATGACCTTGTTGTTCACCTTACCTGCTACCACATTTGTTCATGAGGAAATGCTGGGAAAATATTAGCAACCAGTAATGCATCTAAGAAGAAGGTGAGGGAGTTCAGTGTAGGCTTGGCTCTCTGAGATAGGACAGATTGTTAAAAGTCACATAACCTCAGTTTCCTTGTCAGCAATGTAAGAATTGTAATTTAAGTGAGTGAGTCAAGAGTTTCACTATTTGGGAGTACAAGGTACTACCTGTGCCATAGTGAGGTTGCCAGATCATAAGTGATTGTTAAAATAATAGTTGAAGAAATAGGAAATCTGGGGCATCTGAGTGGCTCAGGCAGGTAAGCGTCTGACTCTCAATTTCGGTTCAGGTCATGATCTCACTGTTTGTGAGATGGAGCCCTGCGTCGGGCTCTGCGCTGACAGAGTGGAGCCTGCTTGCGATTCTCTCCCTTTCTCTCTCTCTTTCTCTCACTCCCCTATTTGTGCTCTCTCTCTCAAAATAACTAAATAAACATTAAAAAAAAAAAAGAAATGGGAAATTTGGATAGATCCATAATGGGTCAAGAGATTGAATTAGTAATAAGAAATGACTCACAAAGAAAAGCCTAGGTTCAGATGGTTTCACTGGTTCATTCTGTCAGACATAGAAAGTAGAGTTAATACCAAGTTTTCCCAAGAATTCTTACAAAATATAAGAGAGGACACTAACCAGCTCATTCTTTGAGGCCAGTATTATCCTGATGCCAACACCAAATAAAGACATCACAAGAAAAGAAAACTACTGACCAATATCTCTTATGAATATAGATGTAGAAGTCATCAACAAGATACTAACAAACCAAATCCAGCAACATAAAAAGGATTATATTCCATGACCATAGTATTCATCCTAGGAATTCAAGTTTGCTTCAAAATCTGAAAATTAAGGCACGTCTGGCTGGCTCAGTTGTAAGAGCATGTGACTCTTGATCTCAGGGTCCTGAGTTTGAGCCCCATGTTGGGTGTAGAGATTACTTAAATAAATAAGTAAAAACTTAAAAAAATCTGAAAATTAATATGATAGACCATATTGATAGAATAAAGGACAGGGGCACCTGGCTGGCTCAGTCGGTAGAGGGTGCAACTCTTGATTTCAGGGTCAAGCGTTGAAGCCTCATGTTGGTCATGGAGCCTACTTAAAAAAAAAAAAAAAATGAATGAAGGATAAAAACCATATGATCATATCAATACATGTAAGAAAAGTATTTGACAAAATTTAATATCTCTTTATTGTATTTATTTATTTTTAAGGTTTTATTTTTAAGTAATCTCTACACCC